TAGTAATAGTTATATATATATATATATATATATATATAAAATATAGTTTACACAAATTATTAGAACAATTTAATCAATAAAAAACCAGGTTAAAAAAATAAAAAAAATAAAAAAAGTTAATAATATGTTAACAATTTAATCAGAAGCAGTAAAAGACCTTGTGACGTGCTGAGGAAGAAGCTTTGTCGGATGCTGGTGAAGTCGCTGAGGGTGTGCGACGACCGCTAGGTAATGGTGGACGCAGATGGGGTGCTTGAGGTGGAGGGCCCGACAACGTACGACGACAGAGGGGTGCTTAGGGTGGAGAGCTCAAGAGTGTATGATGGTCATTAGGTTGCAAGTGGGGCGCTTTGGCGAAGGGCCCGACGACACCCAATGGTAGAGGGGCGCTCGGGGTGGAGGGCCCTAGAGCACGTGATGGTCATTAGGTCGCAAGTGGGGCGCTCGGGGCGGAGGGCCCAATAGTGCGATGATAGCTTGCGACAACAGAGGGGCACTCAAGGTGGAGGGCCTGAGAAGACGCGACAGCCATCGGGTCACAGGTGGAGCGCTTGGGGCATTGGACTTCACGTCGTTGAGGAAGAAGGGTTTGTTTCACTGTGAAATCTTCGGTTTGCTTGGGAGTCGAAGCAGAGCTTGCCTCTTCCATAGGTGGGGTGGGGGCAAAGGCTTCGTCGGTGAGGAAGAAAGGTTTGGTCGGGTCAGGACGAAGGTGGTATTTAACGTCGATGATCCATTTGTTAAAGGTAAGAAAACCTACACATGAATGTTGTATCCAATTGAATAATTTTTTTTTAAAAAAAGGACACAACTAGACACGTGTCTAACAAGTGTTCGGCCGTGTCAGTGTTGGAGATGGTATGCCACTCAAACCACCATGTTTGTGCTTCTTAGTACAACACCTTTGTCTATGATGTTGTTGTAAAGAAGCTTTAGTTTGATCTCTTTTAGTGTTTTCTCATTTCTTTTGTTCTTTTCTTCCAAAATACTATCATGAAGATTAACTAAGCTTCATATGCAGGATGACATGAAGAAGTTTTAAACAAAACTTACTTAAGATACTACATCATGACTCTTAACTCTTGCCAGATATTTATCTGCACCAATCAATTAATTCCACTCCATTTTTTCTTCTTTGTTTCCTGTTTTCTTCTCCTCCTATTTTCCATAATGATGAGCTATTACAACTGTCTTTTAAAAATGCTTCTATCACCTTTTCTTTTTTTTGCCAAAAGATCCACTGATTGTTGTGTTCTTATAGTATTTATTATGCTTTGTAATAGTAAAATAGAGGAAGGATTCAAAGATGTTCATAGATGCTTGTAAACAACTATTAAGCAATGTGAGAAAAAGTTAGTGAACATTAAACCTGTTAAAGTTATAGTTGAAATAGCATTTTCCTATCAGCTCAATGGTGATCCATCTACAAGAAATCTCCAGTCTGACATTTTTTCTAAATTTAGATAATGACATCTCAATTTTGAATTTTTTTTCATGAGAGTAATGTCTTATATATAGTATTCTCCATAACTTTCACACTTCAATTCCATCTAACTATGGGTCTATTGAGAGAGATTGGCTCCTTAAAGTCATTACTCAGAGGAACTATTGCTTATCACTGGTTGCTTTGATTGTCAATTGCTGCTTGATCCTATGAGTTTGTCTAGGATATCTTAGATGCCAAAGATATATTTTCTTACCAAAGATTGTTGTTTATCTTTGTCGGAATCAGTGATTTAAAAAGAGCTAGGCACCAAGATCTCAAAACGCCCGAGGTGCTAAGCGTTTGCCCAAGCGCTCACCCGAGCGAAACGAAACGCTCTAAAATATTAAAATATAAATAAATAATATAATTAATAAATAATAATTTAAATAAAAATATGATATTAAATTAACAAAATCTAAAGTACAAAGTCACAATGGCACATTAACAAAAGTCTTAAAATTCAAAACAATAAAGTTTTACATCAAAGTCATTTATCGTAATTAACATTATCATTATTTTCAAACAAATCATTTTCATTGAGTTCGTCCTCATCTTCTTGTCCTTCCTCTTTATCAAAATATATTTTATTCTCTCTATCTTCAACAATAGCAAAAGCTGAGCTTAATGCTATTGCACTCATTTTTCTTCTTGTCATCTGTCGTGTATATGTTTGTAATTTTTCAACACGTGAAGCTCTTGCCACATCTCTCCCAGTGATTTCAATAGGCGCTCGGGTGCTTGCCTAGGCGCTCGGGCGAGGCGAGGCCCTAGCGCCTCGCTTCATTTCTAGGCGGCGCGCTTTAAAGAGGCGCCGCCTGGGCGCTCGCTCAAGCCCAGACGTCGGGCGCTTCGAGCGAGCGCCCATGTTCAACCAAGCGATCGAACTAACGTTTTAGGTCTGGTTCGGTCTCCGGTGCTTTAGTTGGTTTAATCGAACAAACTAAAGCACCGATATCAGCCTTCCTCTTGTGACTTCCCCAACCCTAACCTTGCTCGTTGCTACCGCTGCCGTTGCCACTGTCGCCACTCGCCGCTCCCGCTCCCGCTGTCGCTGCCATTGTCGTCGCTCCCCACTCTCGCTCCCGCTGCTCATTGCTATCGTCGCTACCGCTGTTGCTACTCGTTGCTACCGCTATCGTTGCCACTGTCGTCGCTCGTCGCTCTCGCTCTCGTTGCTGCTGCCGCTACTCGCTGCTATCGCTGCCACTATTTCCCCTTCGCTGCTCTGTCATGAACGGTCGTCGCACACTCGCAACAACTTCGTTCAACGAACCGTTCGTCGATTTTGCATGCTTGAACAGAGACATGGCAGCTTGTTTTGCCTTGGTTTTGTGTGTTTTTGCTTGTAAAAATACATGTTCGAACAGGTTGCAGTGCACAGTGTGATTGCTCACCGCGCCGGGCCAAAAAGCCCCAAAATGGCTTCGTTTTCGCATGTTGCGGGCTGTTTTCTGCAGCCCGCTGCAGTGCACGAAATGTCAGCCATCTCAGCACCCTGGAACCCCCCGGGTGGCACAGGGCTGGATGGAGCTTTGATATATTGTCAGGCGTTGAACAATCTTCACAAGTTCGCACGTTTTCTTGACGGGAACTTGCCTTCGCGCCCGACACCCGGTAAGCAGTTGTTTGTGGACTTGCAACTGTTCGTTTTGCCTTCTAAAGTCCTTGTTTTCCTCCTCTCTCTCTTTTCTCTTGTGCACACAAGGTGCTTGCTGAATTGCTTGTAAAGCTTCCCTCTTTGCGAGACGTCGGGACTTGTCCGTCGCTCGTTTTCAATCTAATCAACTTTCTGTTTTACAAGTCCTTCGGGACCTGTACGGAAACAAGCACTTAATGCCTTAACAGCTTCTATCCATCCCCCCAAATCGGACAAGGGCAAGGTTGTTGCTCTTAGTTCGAGTAGTTCAGAATCCAACAGCGACGATGAGGAGTCGCAAGGACCCCGGATGGGGGCAATGCGTTTGTTGAATGCTATGCAGGGTCAAGTGGGGGAGAACATGAAGACAAGGCCGCAAAAAGCAGGAAGTAATGAGCTGATGTACGTAGACATTAAGCTCAATGGCCAAATGACTCGTGTAATAGTGGACACGAGCGCTACCCACAACTTTATTGCCGATCGAGAAGCACAGCGACTTGGGCTGATCTTGGAGAAAAACCCAAGTCGAATGAAGGCGGTGAACTCGGAGGCCAAGCAAAACTCCGGGTTGGCAAAGGGAATTCCCATCAAGATCGGATCATGGAGCGGAAGCACAAACATGATGGCGGTGCCATTGGACGACTTCCAAGTGATTCTTGGAATGGAATTCATGCATGCGGCGAAGTTGGTGCCAATGCTGTTCCTAAACTCCCTATGCATGATGGGAGGTGACGACCCCTGTGTGGTTCCCGTCTCTCAGAGAAGAATCAGGGAACCCTAACAGATATCAACATTACAACTGAAGAATGGGGTACGAAAAGACGAATTAACATTCGTGGCTGTTATGAAGCTAGAGCCACTCGACGAGAAGGCCATTCATGAACCTGTTATGGTGGCGAACGAGAAGGCCATTCATGAACCGGTTGTCAGCCATCTCAGCACCTTGGAACCCCCCGTGTGGCACAGGGCTGGATGGGGCTTTGGTATATTGTCAGGCGTTGAACAATCTTCACAAGTGAGCATTTGTTTGTGGACTTACAACTGTTCGTTCTACCTTCTAAAGTCTTTGTTTTCCTCCTCTCTCTCTTTTCTCCTGTGCACACAAGGTGCTTGCTGAATTTCTTGTAAAGCTTCCCTCTTTGCGAGACGTCGGGAGTTGTCCATCGCTCGTTTTCAATCTAATCAACTTTCTGTTTTACAGGTCCTTCGGGATTTGTACGAGGTTGCAACTAGGCTGAACCTTTGCGGACACATATGTCGCAAGGACGCCTCAAGACTTAGGCAATCCCAGCTAAGTCCGAGAAGTTGGCGCAAGGGTGCGTCGCAACTTAGGCAACTCAAGCTAAATTTGCGTCTTGGCCGCAAGGGTGCCTCACGACTTAGGCAATTCCAGCTAAGTCTGTGACAGCTCATCGCTCCTCCCGCTACCGTTGCTCGCTGC